AGTGGGCAGAGAAGAAGAGACTGGCTGGGGGAACATGCAGGGAGGAGATGGGACTGGGCTTTCTGGAGGGTAGGCAACCTTGAGAATGGGCAGGCTTTGGAGAGACTGGGGGTACTGCAGGGGCACCCTAGTGGGTGCACCTGAGGTGCAGAAGGGAGCTTGGAGCATGCCAGTACCACACAGAGCCTTTGTGGGCATTCTTGCACATCGTTCTCATAGCTCTGGAAGTTGGTGCTCATACTATTCCCACTGCACAGGTGGGACAACTGAGGCCCAGAGAGGGTAGGGCCTTGCTCAAGGTCATGCAGCTTCTATGCTAATAAATGTCCCCCATCTCTGCCCCAGCCCCCTTGCCAGAGGTGAACAATGTCCTTCAGCTCTTCAACAACACGACACTAGATACATACAGAAAAGTGCTTTGTACACTGTGACCTGCTGTGCAGTTTGGAGGCATCCTCCTCATCATTCCACACTAGAATAAGGCTTAACACAGGAGGGTGTGGTTCCCATGGTCTGAGCTGGATGGAAGGTTATAGGGAAGGGTAGGGTCTCTGAGAACTGCCGTGCTTTGAGAGGCTTCTTAGAGGAGATGGAGAAGAGGATGTAACTGGGAGCCAGAGTGAGGAGGTCCCTGCAAGGTGGGCACTGCTGCCTGTCTACCCTGCCTACTTCCTCCTCCCAGACACAGCTGCCCTGTGCTGCCCTCCGCAGAACGCCAACCTTAGTGAAATGGCCTGCCAGGCAGTACTTCCCAGGCTGGTGGGTCATTCTGCTCTGGGAAGTTTGGCTCTGGTAGCTCCCTCCTTCTGGCCCAGCTCCCAGTGGCCTGGGGCTGTTGCTGGGCCCAGCTGCCTTCCAGGGTGGGAGCCAGATGCCCTGCAGCTCTCTTGTCTTGGAATACCCTCCTCCCCATGACCTCACCTTTAACCCAGCTTGACTTGGTGTCTTCTCCGGGAAGCCTTTTCTGATCTCCATGGGCTGAGTTAGGACCCCAGAGTATCTAAACTTATACTGACCAAAATAAATAAAATGTGAGCCACATGTGTAAGCCACGTACAATTTGAAATTTTTTAATAGCCACATTTTTTAAAAAAGTCAAAAGAAACAGATGAAATTATTCAAATGATTGTTTTATTTAACCTAGTACATTCATAAAGTCATTTTTTCTTTTTGAGATGGAGCTCTTGTCCCCCAGGTTAGAGTGCAATAGCGTGATCTCAGCTTACTGCAACCTCTGCCTCTTCAGTTTAAGTGATTCTCCCACCTCAGCCTCCCGAGTAGCTGGGATTACAGGCATGCGCCACCACACCTGGTTAATTTTTGCATTTTAGTAGGGATGGGGTTTCACCATGTTGGCCAGGCTGGTCTTGAACTCTTGACATCAGGTGATCTGCCCCCCTTGGCCTCCCAAAGTGCTGGGATTACAGGCATGAGCCACCATGCCCAGTCATAATGTCATTTTGGTATAAAAATTATTAATGAGATATATTACCTTTTCTTTTTGGTATGAAATCTTCAAAATCTGGTTTTTACATTTATAGCACATTTTGATCTGCACAAGCCACATTTCAAGTCCTCCATAGCCACATGGCTACCATATTGGTTAGCACAGCCCTAAAGACAGGGAGTTTATAAAGGTTGAAGCTCAGAGTTTGGCACCAGAGAGATCTGGCAGTCATATTCTGGCCCTGCCGTTTATTAGCTGGATGAACTTTGGGAAGTCGCTAACCCTTCTGAGCCTCAGTTACTTCAGCTGTGAAAGGGATTAATAATTTCACTGCCAGAGAATTGCTTTGAGGATTAAACAAATGAATGCGTGTCTAGTGCCAGGAACATAGGAAGTGCTCAGAAAATGGTGGTGATTAATTTTCTAGTACCCTCTGATGTGCAGGGGTATGTACCTCCACTGGATTGATTGCGAATTCAAGGGCAGAGGCTGTATTCAATTCCTCCTGCCTTCCTCAGTGTCCAGGGCCTGGTTTGATGTGAGCGTTACTGCTTGCTGAATGAAAGATTAAGTCCTTGGGCCAGGAGTGCTCCCCACCCCTACCCTGCTTGCCCAGGAGTCAAGGGCCCTTGTGGCTGGGAGTCAGACCACTGACTACCTGTGGGTGACCTTGGCAAGTCACTGCTTTGCTGAGGGCCTTGGTTTTCTCCTTGGAAACATAAAAGGGAGATAAGAGGGGCCCTGACTGAGGTGTTTGGTTGAGTCTCTCCCCGCAGTGACCTTGGGGGCTGTGGCTGACCGTGTCCCTTGCTTTCCCAGCCAGTGGAGCAAATCGCTTCCATCCTCCTCCTGGCTTTCCTGTATCCTGGACTTTTGCACCATTAAGCTCCCTACAGTTAAAATTTAAGAGGAAAGAATTTCTCCTGCCTCTTAGACACAGCAGAGAGGAGATGGAGGGTCCTGTCCCTTCTCTTCTACCAGTATCTGCTGATTTTCCATTATAGCAGCCCGGTGACAGACATGGGACAGGAATTCTCCCATTTTATAGGTGAGAAAATTGAGGCTCAGAGATGTCAAATAACCTGCCCTTTGCTGGATGGGCTCCTCTTTCTTTTTATCTCCATGAGACTTGGTCCTGGGTTGGGTCCTGTTCCTGTGCCTCAGTTTCCCTGCAAGGGGAATGAAAACGGTCAAGTAACTAGAGTAGTAATTTACGACCGATAGGGGCCATATGATCTTAATTGTCTCTCCTGCTTCCTCCAGCCTGATTTTTCTGGAAAGGGTTACTGTCGGGTAAAGTGGAAAGTATCTAGTCCAGGGAACCAGTGTTACTGTGCGAGGGTAGCCTTGGACGGTCACTCCCACTCTGAGCCTCAGCCTGCCTATTTATAAGATGAGAGATGATATTATCACACAAGATGCTGTGCAGATGACACACAAAAGTACTTTGCAAACTGGAAAGTGCTAATAGAAATGTTAGTGAATAATAATCATCATCAAAATAATGAAAATAGCAGCCTCATTTTCTGTGTGGGCTCATTGACCTGACGTGAATTGAGCCCTTTGGGTATAAATGCAAAATGATGTCTGGGAACTTCCTGCCTTGGTCTTTGGAGTGTAGCCTGGATTCTCCTGGGAAAGTGAGAGGCTCCATCTGGTTGAGGAGGGTGGGAACGTTGCCCTGCCCCAGGGGAGGAGTGAGGAGGGCTTTAGCCTGGGGGAAGGAAGGAAACGGAGAGGGCCAGGGAAGGAGAGTTGAACTAAGAGGAACAGAGAGGGCCTTGGCCAAGCAGCCCAGAGCCTCCTGCCCACAGGAGCCCATGACTGGGAAGGCTCAGCCAGCAGGGGAGACTGAGTCTATTTGGAATTAAAATATTTGAAGGCAGGCAGTCAAGAATGTCTTAGCAGCTGTGCCTCTGAAACAATAAATTCATCTGGTGTAACTCCTGACTTTTACTGGTCCTTTCACTCATTTTTTTAAATACATGTGTGGTGAGCTAAACTCAAATAGAGCACCTTGTGTGGCAAAGTGACTTGCCCAAGGCCACAGCCCCAGGGGCCTGCATGAGACTCCCTGGGGAGCTCCTGGGAAAATGAATTTGAAAGGCTGGGGGATGAAAAGTCCAAAGGCAAAGGGCAGGATTTTTACAGAAGGTTGCCAAGGAGGACACTGGTCCTTCTGTCAGTCAGCCTGGGCAGATTTGTCTGTCTTCCCACCTTCTGTCTGGAGGATGAGCATGTTCTCTGGGACTGGGAGGAGCTGGCTTCATTCTGCTCTCTGCTTTTCATCCACTCCTGAGCCTGGTGAGCAGGGGGAGTGTCAACAACGGAAGCTGTGTCTCGAGACACCTGATGAAGATTTAACTTGGAGAAGAGAAGGTTTGCTTTGGGCATGGCACAAAGGGGCACAGCTGTATCTTGAGTTCTCTAAAGGGTGCTGGGGAGAGAGCCTAGCCTCATTCTCTGGAGGCCCTAGAGTACATATGAGGACCCAGGGTAGAAGGTCACCATGATGAAGCTGCACACTGGGAAGGAGGAGTTGGGGGAGGGAGGTGCCCGGCCCTGTGGTGTGTGACACAGAGAGATAGAGAGCCCACTGGTGAGGCTGATACTGAGGGAATCGCAGCAGGGAAGGATGGAGGGCTAAGCTCACATCAGGGCTGCTTCCTACCTCGGGGCCTCTGTGTGTCCCAGGGCAGTGAATTCTGTAGTAAGGAGAACCATGGAGAATGAATGAATAGTTGTGAATGCCTGGGGGTGGGGGTGGTGACTGGGGGGTCGTGGTCATATGGGCTGCAGTGGACCCATGGATAGAAATCTTCGGAGATCATGCTGCGGTTACTCACCATTCTCTCTATGCCTTCCGTATGAACTAGGGACCCTAGAGATAGGCATGTCCAGCCCTGTCTTCATCTGCAAATGAGGCCCACACATGGGAGCAACTTGCCCAAGGGTACTTGCTGAGCCACTAGCAGAGCTGGACTGGAACCCAGGCCCTCTGCCTCCCAGAGTCCTCTGCGGCTTGAGGTCTCCACCTTTGGATTGTGTGAAGTGGAGGTACCACAGTGGCTGAACTGGTTTTTGAGCCTGTAACAGTGCTCTGGGAGGGGAGGAGCAGGGCTTAGCTGGCTTTTGAGCCATGATCTCTGCCACAGGCCACTTGGCCACCCCTGCCCCTTCCTGGAGCTCTCGTGTGCACTCAGCCCGTGCTCACACACATACAGCAAGCCCGCCTGTACACAGGCCCCGTCCCCAGCAGGTCCCCGGACTCACTGTTACACTTACTGTCATTGTCACCAAGGCACATGTGTACAAATGTATACACAGACACCCTCTAGACACACTCAGAGGCACAGAGGATTCCCAGGAGACAGTTGCAATACCTCCTCCCGGTGGGGAAGGATGCCGAGTCCCAGGTGGGTTCTGCCCTGCGCTGCGCTGCGCTGCAGGGGTGGTGAGGGGATCCGGCTCCGGTGGGATGGGAGGCCCACTGAGGCTGAGTCACCCCTTCTGAGTCAGGGATCCGTCCCTCCTCTTCTCCCCTCCCCCTCCCTCTTTCGCTGCTGAGCCCCCCAAGGGGACCTGGCGAGAGTGAGGAGGCCCGGGGCTGTCTGGGACCAGGGCGGGGGCAGCCCTGGCACTCGAGGGGCCTCCTGCGGCACAGTCTCGCAGTGGTCTGGGAACTGCCTGTGTGTCAGGGACCCGGAGGAGGTGGCCTGGGAGCCTGAGAGAGAGGGCGGGTGGAGAGGAGACGGGCAGAGAGGAGGCGGAGGCAGGGGCTGGGCCGCCGCGAGCTGGGAGGCAGGCGCGAGCAGCGGCCGCCCCTGGGCTGGGCTCCGAGGCCGGAGCGGGGGCTGGCCGCGCGTCGGGCGCCAGGCCCGGGGCTGTGGGCACCGTGCCCAGCCCCCGGCGCACGCCGAGCCGCCACCGCCGCCGCTGCAGTCAGCATCCATCAGCGGGCGGGGGTGTCGCGGAACAGGCTGCTCCGCAGAGCCCGTCGCGACCCTGCGCCGCCCCGCCCCGCGGCCTGCCGGCCAGAGGAGTCGAGGGGGCCGCCCCTCGCCCAACCTGCCCGAGATGGGGACCCCTGGGCCCAGGTAGGCACGTGGGGGGAATCAGGTGGCTCTGGGAGCCGGGGGCTTGCAACACCTAGGCCCAGCCTCCAGCCCTGGGGGAATGGGGGTGAGACTGGGAACTGAGTTTTCTGGCTGTTGGCCCCCTGGCCAGTGTGGGGGAGGGTCTCTCAGTTCCTCCCCACCTCCTGGCCGGCAGCCTCCCTCTAGGCCTGGAGAGAGGATCGGGAAGCTGGGGGGGCTGGTCCTGCTGTAGGAGGAGCAGTGCGTGGGTGCTGGGCTCCCACCGGCTGGCCCACTCTCTTCTCGGAGAGCACTCCTGCTACCACCTCCGGAGGCCAAGGGCTCTCTGGATTTCTCCAGCTTCAGATGCTGCAGAAGGAGCTCTTGGCTGGAACCTGGGATGCTGGCGAGCTCTTGCCCTCATCTGTCCTCACTGGTTAGGGACCCTTCCCCGCTGTAGGCTTGCCTTGCCTCCTGTCTCTCTTCCAAGTCCCTCAGAGCTGCTAGCAGGGATCTTAGCTCTAGGACTTCTGCAGCTCTGGCCTGGCATTGTCCTGGCCAGTGACTGTCCCCTAATCAAAGGGAGAGGGCTTGTGTGTCCCACTCGCATCTGGCACCTTCACACTTGGGGAGATCCAAGGGCCCAAGAGGCTGGGGTCTCAGGGATAGGCATGGTTGGGGGCAATGTCTACAGTTACTGGGGTACTTACTGGGTGCAGAGGCCATGGACTGGCAGACCTATATGGCTCAGAGTGGTCCATGGGGACCTTGAAGGCCAGACAAGGTCCAAGAGGGAGTTCTGGGGATGCTGGTGTCTCCCTCAGCTGCCAGCCATAGTCGTTGCTTTTCCCTTGGAGCTCTGAGGATGCATTGCTGGGGGAGAGAGCACCACGTGTTCCCACATTCGCTTCTGGATCCGCATAGCACCTCCTCTGCACCCAAAGGTGGGAATGTGAGACGGCCGGATTTAGGACCTCTCCAGGGCTGTGTGGGGTCCAGAGGCTTGGCTCCATTCCCACCCCCGTGCCCCCACCCCCAGCATTAGGAGCCTTCCAGAACTAGGAGCAGTTGGGCCAGGTCGGGATCTGGGGCCTGGATGGTGCCCTCAGCAGCTTCTGGAAGACTCAGTGCCTCCTGTCCTGAGGAAGGGTGTGGAGAATAGAGGCAGCTGTGTGCCTGTCTCCCTACCCATTCCTCCAGATGGAGCCTGCGGCAGAGGCAGCCTGTGCCAGCCTCCTCTGTGAGCCACCGTGGCCCAGGGAGGCTCTGCCAGCTCTGTGCAGGGATGGAGCTGGCTTCTCCTGGCCAGCCTGAGGTCATACCCGCCTGGCGGCTAGGCACAGTATTTGTGGCATGCAGAGCATGGTCCCTGGGATTTCAGGGGCACCTCAAACCAGTCTTGGAAGAGATCAGTGCAGAGGGCATTGTTCCTATTAAAAGCCTTCCTGGGCTATGTGACAGTCCCCCTGGGCTCAGCCCTGTGAGCTCCTTGAAGAGCTTCTTCCTTAGAACACTGCATGAAAACAATGCTTGGTCAGGTAGTCCTCACTTAGCTGATATTGAAAGGTTGAATGGGGCCTAGAGAGGAAGAGTGACTTGGCCAAGGTCACAAAGCAGCTGAATGGGAGAGTCAGCACTAATGTACCCAGGTCTTCTACCTCTTGCTCTGGAACTCTTGCAGCCCCGATGCTGGCTTCCCTGATGCGGTGGCTGTGCCATAGACAAGACTCTGCCAGGGGCTAGGCATTGTAGCCTGGAGCCTGAGGCTACCTGACCCCTTAGGAGGGGCCTTATGTTGACCTCCAGCCCTTACCCTCAATAGATGAGCAGGAGAGGCCAGTGGCCATGGACCCTCTTGGAAGTGCGTAGAGCTGAGAGGATGGCAGGTGCCCAGGGATGTTCTGGCCTGAGCCTCCAGGGGGCAACAGAGAGGGTTTTCTGACTTCAGGCTGCCATGGGAAGTGCTTTTAGCACCAGCCCAGACTTCTCTAAGGGCTCCTTTCTGGGCTTCCCTGTCCCATTTGTTAAAAGGGGATGGTCACCTCGGCTGGGTGCAGTGGTGCTTGTCTGTAATCCCAGCACTTTGGGAGGCCAAGGCAGGTGGATCACAAGGTCAAGAGATCGAGACTGTCCTGGCCTAAAACATGGTGAAACCCTGTCTCTACTAAAAAATACCACAATTAGCTGGGCATGGTGGTGTGTGCCTGTAGTCCCAGCTACTTGGGAGGCTGAAGCAGGAGAATTGCTTGAACTCCAGAGGTGGAGGATGCAGTGAGCCGAGATTGCACCACTGCACTCCAGCCTGGGTGACAGAGCAAGACTGTCTCAAAAAAAAAAAAAAAAAAGCCGGTGGCAGGGTGGGGGAGGAATGCCTGGAGAGTAGTACCAATGATGACACAATCAAAGTGACAGCATTTATTTAACACTTACTGTAAACCATGTACTGCAAGAAGTGCTTTGAGTCATTTCACAGTATCCCTATCAGATAGGTATGATTAATTATCTACTTTTTACAGAGGAGAAACTGAGGCTCAGAGAGGTTATATCACCTGCCTAAAGTTATATAGCTGGCACGTGTGGGGCAGTGTGAGTCCAGAGTCCTTCTTTCTACCATGACATTTACTGGGGGCAGCGTCTGGAAGTACCAGCCTGATATCCAGCAGAACCAGGCAATTCCTTGGTAGGCCAAGGCTGGTCCAGGTGGAGAGGTGTGTGTGTGTGTCTGGCGAGGCAAGGGTGGCTTTGTGGGCTGAATATTACTGTGGTCCTGAGGGATAGAGGCAGATCGGTACTGACTAGGAGCTCTCAGGGAAGGATCAGCCTTGGCCTTCTGCTTCCTGGCCAGGATCCCCCAAAAGTGGGGAAGCACCAGACTCTCTGCTCCCATTGGCTTTTAGGGAATATGGGCTGGCCCTGGGCACATCCTGAGGCCCCAGTGGGGACTGGGCTGAGGAGGCCCTGTGGGCAGGGAGCTGAGCCTGGGTGGATGGGTGGGGGTGGAGTAGGCTGGCACTGCTTCCCTTGTGGGCTGGAGGCTTGTGGATCAGAATAGTAACAGCTAACATTTATTGAGCATTTATTATATGCCAAGCCCAATTTTAAGGGCTTCCTTGTAGAACTCATACATTCTTCACAAAGCCCTATGAGGTGTAGATGAGGTATAGGAGTTATTATTCTTCCCATTTTACCGATTGAGGGAGCTGCGGCTTAGACAGTTGTTCAAGGTCAAACAGCTTGGTTGTTGGGGCATCAGGATTCAAACGTCGGCAGTACGGGTTAGAGCCATGTTCCTGAGGGCCATGCCTGTAGTTTCTCAGAGGCCATACTCCGTTTTGTTCAAGCTGAAATAGTCACTTAGTCAGATGTATCCCTCTCCTCAAAGGCCTCCCGGTCTAGCTGGGAGAGATGCAGACATGACACATTGAAAGTAAAGAATGTGCCATTGCATATGCTCAGTATGGATTCCTATTTTGGTGCTCAGGGAAGGCTTCAAGAAGGGGGCCTTTGAGCTGGGCCCTGAAGGCCAAGTTGGATTTCAATGGTTGAAGGGGAAGGGCACTCACTTCCCCAGGTTAGAGGGGAAGGAAATAGGAATGCCTCTGAAGAAGAGTGGGTGGTCTGGTGTGCGTGGAACAGTTAGTGTGTGTGGCAGGGTGTGAGCTAGGAGGCGACTCAGAAAGTCAGCTTGTATTTGGGTTTTTGATGATGCTCTGGAATCCACCAAACATAGGCTCTAGTCACAGTACTGCCTTGTACTAACCATGTGGCCTTGAGCACATCACTCAGCTGGCCTGCGCCTCAGTTTCCTCATTTGTAAAATGTAGATAAACATGCCTGTCTCATAGGGACCACGTCGTGGTTGTTACATAAAGCACCTAAGTGTAATGCTAACACGTTGCAGGAGCTCAGTAAACATGACTTCTCTCCCCGTTCTGTCTCTCTTAAATGTCAAGCCAAGGTGTTTCAACTTGACTTGAGCCTGGAGGCTCTAGGAACCTTTGTAGGATTTTGGTCTGCTGAGGAGCATGTCAGAACTGTGTTTTGGGAAGGTCCCTTTGTACAGGAGAGGATGGACTTTGACCTTACAGGGAGAAACCTTAACTGTGGGGACCTGGAGGGCTGGGGAGGGAGCAAGATTGGCACTCACTAAGGTGTCTCTCCAGTAGTGGGTGGCCTGTTTGCAGAAGGAGGAGCTTGGAGTGGGTAAGGCCACAGGGGTCAGGAATTCCTTCTGAGGCCTGGTGAGTGTGAGAAGAAGGGCTGGTCTCCCTTCAGTCATCTGGAAGATTGGGCAGCATCTTTTTTTGAGCATCTGGCCTGTTTTTCTTTTGAATTATTTCTTTCGAATAAATCCCCATCAGAGCTTCCTCTATAATAGCAGCAAATGGGGACTAAGTGTCCAACAATAGGAAGAGGATGGAGAATGCTTTGGAACATCCACTGGATTAAATAGTACGCAGTGGTGAACAGTCACAGAAAAACTGTTTGCAGTGCATGGAGCTGTGCAATTGTAAAGCCCGTTTGCATCCTTGATTCATTTCGTGTTTATGACTGCCTTTCGACGGAGGTGGGGCCGGGCTGTATCCCTGTGTGTGAAGAGAATGAAGCTAGACTCCAGTCTCCTTTAAGGCAGAGTTCACATTTTATTCATTGTTTAGTCGCAGCATGTTGCTCGGTGGTTTGCAAATGCTTGTACAATGAAAGAATGAGTGAACCCATCAAGAGGGGAAGTGACTTGATTAAGGTCACACAAGTTGTAAGACATAGTACCTGCCATATTCTTGCTATTTGCTACTTGCCACATTCTTCTCACTCACCACTCACTATCTTCCAGGGGAGTAGGACAGAGAGGTTCCCAGTGAGGACTTGGGACTTGCGTAGAACAGGGCGTAGGTCTTGTTTCTGTTTTCACTATCTGTGGCCTCGGCAAGTGAATTAATCTTTCTAAGCCTCAGTTTACCCAGCTGTCATGTGGATAGTCCAAGTACCTGCTTTTAGGGTTGTCATCAAGAGTAAGTTAA